CCCTGCACCCGGGACGAGGCGGGGCTGGCGAAAGCCGGTCGGGAGGAAAGGGAAGGAGCTGGGGCAGGGGGGCGATGTGTCTAGCGTGGAGCCCCCAGTTAATGTCGTGTAATCCGTGTCAGAACTACCGGGAAGCACGCACACCTCGACGCCACGCCAGCACACACAGTGACACACGCCCATGTGACTCTTACACACCGTCTCGCACACACCAGATCGCACACGGCCCCGACTACGCATCAGCCGCCCACCACACCCCCACTGCCTCCATGTGGTGGGTTCTGAGCCGTGGGCTCCAAGTCATCGGTCTTCAGGACAGAAAGGGCCACGGTCCCCAGGCCCACGCTGATTCTCTGGGCGGCTTTTCCCAGCCTGTGGCTTCAGACCCTCTAAAACGGTGGGAAGAAGTGGGAGGAAATCCGGGTCTCACTCCTCCAGGACGAGGAGACTCGCTTTTGAGGGCTCGTAAACCTGGCGCTCTTAACCGGGTGACGGGGGCTTTTGGTGGCCTCTCCTGCTGGGTCCAGTGAGAGCTTAGGGTGCCGGGAGTGGCTAGTTTCTCGACTTGAGTGGCCAAGGGATGGCAGAGGGGGTGGAAGGGAGAGGGAGAAAAAGAATGAGTATGAGTCAGCCTGGGATGGAGCCCAAGTCAGCGAGAATGAGAGGAATGTGTGAGGAGACAGCATGGGAGAGGGACTAGAGATGCAGCCCGGGAGCCTGGAGGGCGGGGAGGTGAGAGGCAGGATGGTCCCCGGAGCACGGAGAGTGCTGGAGAGTGGATCAGGCCGGCTTGGAAAGCAGAATGGTGGGAAGACCCAGGGCAGTCAAGGAAAACACGTTAAAGTGTGTCTCCCATCTCTGCATGCGTCTGGCCCCTAGGCTGTCCCCCTAGGCTGTCGGGCGATTAGTTTTAATTGCTTTTCCCTTTGTGGCTAAACACTTCCTTGGCAACACTGCCGGCAATGCCCTGGGCTTCCCTTCCCGGGTCACCCACTTCCTCACTTCCCGGTCCGGTGTGGCCGTGTGCTGTCAGGCACGAGGAGGGTCAGCCACAGTGCCTCAATCTTGTGCATCCTCACCACCGTCATGACGGGCATCTCCACCAACCGGGAGGTGCCAACACTGGACGTCAGGCCCCTCCACTTACGTTCTCTTGCGGCTTCCTAATAGTAGCTCTGAGTTTTCACATGGGAACACTGAATCACAGAACCCAGAAGTGAGGAGGAAAAGACAGAACAGACTGGAGCCCATAGGGAGATACAGAAGTAAGAGTGGGGAGTGTCACAGCCAGGTGAGGGGAGCAGAGGTGGGCTGGAGAGATCACAGCCCCCTCTGCCCTGCTGGACCCCACACCAGGTGTCTCCTGATGGGCGTCTTGGGCTTGGCGCTTAGACTAAGGGCTGAAGGCTTAGTGCCTGTCCTCATGCCCATTTTGCTGCTTGGACTGGAGTGAACATTTTGGTGCCCTGCCCACTCCCACCCCCCAGGCTGACCCGGAGCCTCAGAACCCTCATTTTCCTTATTGCAGGAATAAAGACCACCCCCCTCCACCCCAAGCTGGACAAAGAGTATGACATTAAAGGAAGTAAACCACGGGGCTGCTTGAATGTGGGGCCCAGGTATAACTTCAACCAGTACTGCTAGAGCCCTGCTCTCTCCCTTCCACACCCTCCCTTTCCTGGTGACTTCCCCACTGACAGACTGGCTGCCTGGGAGTCCCCTCTTGCCCCTTATGGGGACCCCAGGTCCTTGCAGAAGTAGCAGAGGTGGGGGAGCACCACCTTAACCCTGGGGGCTTCCTCCTCACTGAGGATTTAGAGTGCGAGGGAGAGTGTCATGACCCTCCACAGGTGGCCATCACACTTGCCAGGCTTCCCAGCACTCTCAGGCTTCCCACCCCAGGGCCCACATAGCACTCTACCCCCCTCCGCCCCCTGGGGTCTTTCTCCCATGTCCTGTCCTAAGAGGTCAGTCTATAAGGATCCTTCCCTCCTACCCCTCTTCCCCAGCATCCTCAGTTGGTTCGACCTTTGTCAGAGCTCTGACTGGGGCCAGCTTGGAAGGAGAGGGGGAGGGAGGAAGGAAGGAAGGAAGGTGTGAGGAAGCGGTGAGCAGAACACAGAAAGCTGGGAGGGAAGGGGACTGACTTCCTGGCGGCTGGGGCTCAGTTCCTGGTTCCTGCTCTGGTATCCTGTCCCAAGAATGGCCTCCGCCCAGGCTGCCTGGTGATCCCTGGGCGGCCCTCTGCACTGCTTCAGAGATCAGGAGGACTTTTCAGAGCCTAGAGTGTAGCCATCTTCACCACGGGCCCTAAGAATTCTGAATCTGGTGAGAAAGTGACATGAATGAGGGAGCCAAGCTCTGCCAGGGTCCACCATGGCCAGCCTAACCCAGGGACAACAGTTGACCCGTAAGACTTGAGAGCAATTCCCCAAACTGCTGTTTTCGCCTCTGCTGCCATACCCAGGCCCAGGCCAATGAGATCTCTCCAAGGAGAGGATACCAGGCTGCCTTTCCTTGTTCCCTCAGGGGTCGTATTCCTATCTATCCTGTCTGTCCCTTCTTGCTCTCCATTCCCTGTACCCCTCCTATCCAGTGGTGTCATTGTCCTAATGACTGGGGGTGGGGGGCGCAGAACTGAGGTTGCTATGGTGACAGCTAAGCCGAGGCTGCAGCCTTCTAGTTGTGGACTCTGTGTGCTCCCCCCACAACCACTTTCCCTCTCCCAACCCCCCCCCCTTTTCCTCCATTCTGTAGGCTCCCCTCACCCCTCGGGATGGGGCCTGTGGTTATATACCTTCTTACGCACACACCCCTCCATGACTGGAACATCCAAACAGATACCCACAGATATCCAGCCACTGCCCTGCCATCCACCTGCACCATCCTACAGCATCCGTAGGATCCTGGCATGGGTAACATTTCTCCTCTGCCACTTGACATTCCCACCCCCATCTCTTAGGGACCTCCTTGGATCTTTCACTCTTAGAAAGCTCCTACCCACTGCCCCCCATCCAGTCTTTGTGGGTAGGTGTGTTACACACATTAATCCCTTCCCACCCACCACCTCTGTGGATCTGTGTTTTAGATTCAGAGCCCTAAATCTTAACTCCTCCCAAGACACATACACACACACACACACACACACACACACTCACTTTCCTCCCACAGGATCTCATATTTACAAACTCTTCTTCCCATGTGAAAGTGAGACAGTGTAACCCTGAATTCTGCCCCCTTTTTCAGCTGAGGGCTTGGCTGAGTCTCCTCCCTCAGGGCAGGGTCTTCTGGTCTCCTTCCCACGCTGCCCTTCCCTTCCAGCTCTCCTCATTCCCCATTCTTATCTTTGTCTTTGGACCCCCTCTCCACAAGCTCTCACCCATGTCCTCCCCCCTTCTGTCCTTGGATTATCAGTGGAGGGAGGGGCTGGGCTCCAGAGCCTGCTGCTGTGACCTAGATTTCAAGGCAGAGACGGTTCCTGGTGCTGACAGTCAGAGAGCATTGTTCCTGGCCGGCCTGGCGGGGCCACTGCTGGGCCCTTCTGTCTGGTTGCACCTGGGTGTGCAACAGAGCATGGCTCTGCGTGCCCGATTCTTGCAGGGGTCGTGCTAGTCCTGCTGTCTGGCTCATTGTCTGTTTGTGTCACGGTGCCTGCCACCAAGGGAGGCTTGCTTATTCTGGTCCAAGTAGGGGGCTGGGAATGGGAACTTCTTGGTCCATACCTCTTACTTGGTGAAGGCTACGCCTGTCTCAGTTCTCCTGCAGTGGAGCCAGAAGGAAGGAGATGGGAATGTGTCACCCAGCCCCTTTGATCTGTCACATCCCCAGCCCGATGCTGGGGTGGTTTGTGGGCAGTCTCCGTCAGGTACAAGGTCATTTTGCTCTTTGCCCACCCTTGGTTTAGCCACAGCATGTTTATGACATGATTTACTTTTTAAGGAATGCATTACTTTTCTGATTGAAAGGAAATATATACTCATTGTGGAAAACAAGTCCCTTTTTGAGCTCACCACTAGAGCTTCGTGTTATCCAATCCAGAAAGTTCATTAGAAGATCCAACTTTTCTTCTCTTAGTCATAGTTCCCATCTTAGTGAAAGGAGGCCTTGAATGTTCCGTACCTTCTCACCTAAGGATCATGACAGAGGGATGGATGGGGTGAGGACCTTGATGAGACCTGGCCTTGCCCAGCCCCCACTGGGAGACCATGCTGAAGGTAGTGCCAGCAGGATGTTGGTGCGAGAAGGGGTGGCAGCCCCCCTCACCAGACTCCCGAAGCCACATCGAAACTCCCCTCCCCCTGCCACCCAGCCAGCCTGGGAACTGGGCAAGGGGCCAGAGCCAGCCGCTTGGTATTCTTGGGCGCGGGGGCTGCAGGCACAGCACAAAGGGTAGGAGAGCGAGCTGAGTGGGGGCCTGGTAACCATCAACAGAGAAAATGGGCTTCTCAAGGTGGGGGTGCCCACTGCTTCCCCCACCTCGAGCCCTAATGACTGAATACGAGGCTAGCATGGAGGGGCCAGGGAGCCATTAGACCAGGCAGCTAGGCACCCATCCAAAATCTGTCATTAGTGGAGTAGTGGGGAGCTTAGTGAGGGACCCCTTTGCTAGAACACATGAGCTTCAGCTCCTCCTACTCTGTTCCTCACGACCACAGTTAGCCCTGCTCTGATGGCAGCTTTTGAGTGTTTTGGGTTTTTATTTCCCTGACACTGGGAGGGGTTGCAGGTGGGTGGGGCGATTCAGGGTGGGGGGGTTGGAGACAGTGGGTGAGAAAGTCGGGAGCAGGTTGCTATGGTAACCGCCTCCTCAGTCAGGGGAACTGTTGCCAGGGTTACTGTTAGAGGGGGAAAACAGAAGAAGAGGATGGTGGGGGAAGGAGGTATGACTCGTCACTCTAGGCTCTAGTCTGGCTCCTAGCGTACGAGTTTCTTCCTGTGTACCCCAGCCTCCATGTTCTAGGCACATGACTGGTAGGGTGGAGTGGGGCAGGGCAGGAGTAGTGCCAGTGAGTAAACCAGACCCTGCACCTTAAGCTCAGCTCCTGTTCCTTTGTCACCCCCAACCCCAGTCATGGCTGAGTACGGGACCCTCCTCCAGGACCTGACAAACAACATCACCCTTGAAGATCTGGAACAGCTCAAGTCGGCCTGCAAGGAGGACATCCCCAGTGAAAAGAGTGAGGAGATCACTACTGGCAGTGCCTGGTTTAGCTTCCTGGAGAGCCACAACAAGCTGGACAAAGGTGGGGGAGGGAGCACAGGGGTGCTGCCATCACCCTTTCAGGCTGTTTTCTCAGCAGATAGAGATGTACTCAAGGCTCGTATACACACACAGTATACCCCTCTATAACCAGCAGAAGAAAGGTGCTCTAAGAGAGGGGGCTTTAGGCATTTTTGACATTTTCTTTGGATATTTTAGACATTTGTCGTCATGCCCCTCATCAGTAAAAATTGTTATTCAGATATTCCTGTGCTAGTATCACATATGTAACATATATAATAGAACATAAAAACAGCATTTACAAGTGGTACAATTTTGACTAGGTAAAAATGGTAAGAATTGTAGGTGATAAAGATATAATGCTGCCTGAGTGGAGAACTGATAAGAGTAATACTAACAAACTAATCTTTATTAAGCAC